CATAGGTGGGGAAACACAATAAAATGATAAAAATTGTATGTTCATATAATTAATCCAACTTTTCTAATGTTAAGAAAGATTTTTAATTAGATCATAGAATTTCCAGAAATTCCCTTTACTTAGTAAGTTAATGAATTTCACAAAGTGTTGAGATCCTTAAACACCTTCAAAATCAATAGGAATTTTGTGCTCAAATCCTATATGATTAAAAAATTTGAAAAATGAGCGTGCTGTGTTTGATAGAGGGTTGTTAGGTGTAATAAAAACAGATTTTACTTTTTGTTTTAGTCAAAACACTTTATAATATCTCAAAAATTTATTGTTAATCATGATTACGTTTGTAGAGCTAATCTTTTCTCCAATAAGTTTACTAGATCAAATAGCTATCTAGCTGCTATTAGCTTTTGTAGCAGAATAGATTAATAACCTTTAAAGTCTATATCCAATTGGTCGCAATTTGGATTATAGATTTTTATCCCAATATATTAGGATCATTATTTTCATCTAGCAAACATTAGTAATCATTATGTGTATTTAATACATCAAGGTATAAGTAGTTATAAAGTAGTTAAACATTTCACAAGATTATTCCACAATAAACTTTAAGCACTTCATATGGGTTGCTTGAATATTTCCAATTTTATATAATTCAAAATCATACACACAAATGTGTCAGCCTAAGAAGTTATTCCTTAAAAATTTAGGTTAATTAATTAATCTTCCAACTCTAGCTTTCCTTATTGCTTATTTGAAACCACATTTCGAAGTTGAATTAAATTTAATTTCTTTAATTTTTGTTGTTATTAGAAAACTCAAAACACAACTCTCAAGGATATCTTGAGATTTTTACATTCCATAATCTCCAATATAGTGTGGAAAGAATCAAATTCTAATATGAATACCTATTTAATAAATTTCAAATTAAAATTAATAAAATAAGTATTTATTTTGTTTTACAAAGCAGATATTAATCCCAAGTTTTTATACTCATATAAGAACCGAGTGATACACAAATGGCCAAAATAAAAATTTTGAGAAACTTAGTGGTTCAGCAGTCTCATTCTATTCAATTCCTTGAATCTCTAATTTAAATATTTATTTGGCTTTTTCTTTCAATATCCATTTATACTTGTAATTAAATTTATTTATTAAATAATTTATAATGGATTATTAAAAATGGAAACTCTAGACCCTTAATCATTAATATCGTTCTCGATTTCATTCCCTTCCTCTAATTATTCCATTAGAGATTCCGAATTTTTTTTTTCTATTATATATAAAATCGGAATATAATTATTTACTTTTCCCTTCTTTTATGTTTTAAAGATCCATTCTTATTTGAAGATCCCTCATTTTTAATTACTTTATTCAAAATAATATGGCAAGAAAATGTTTATTTGCTATTTATTTAGTTTTCTTGTTGATTACAAGATAAAACATATGAAATTATATCATACCAATCAAAAAGCTTATTTTGGACCTAAAGCTCAATAATATAGTAAGATTCATTTGCAAATTTATTCTGTGTTTTTTGATTATGGATATTATTTAATTTTTAACTTAAAATATTGTTGGCTTTAATAAAAAATTGAGATATCCAAAAAGATTTCATTTCTGAAGTTCTATGCAGAGAGTTAGTAATTAACTTCTCTCATATTTGTTATAATTCCTTTAACATTTTTTAGTTTAATGTATTTGTTTCCATATCATTTTAATAAATTTATTATCTATATAAGGAGTCTTGAAATAATATCTCATTACTAGCGAAGAATCAATTTTATTTGAAACCTCCAAACCTACTTAATAGAACTCTGCATCCTTTTGGTCGAAGTTAGAAAACATAAAAATACAATCTTTTGTAAATATGAAAGTCCAATCCATTAGATAGATATAGCAGTTATTTGCGTACAGCTAATATATATTGCAATAAAACAATTGGGAGATTGAATTTTAATGTTTAAGTCTAAATAATTTCAGATCTAAATATTGTCAAGAGGAAAGAACTTTTACAATTATTTTGAATAATTTAGGCTTTCGCTTCTAATCTAAATATGTGGAGTGTTATAGGAGTGTGATCAATGAA